TCGGTGCAACGGCGCGAACAACGATGCGTCATCGATTCGCAATGCGAGAAAAATTAGAAAAAGGACGCGCGCGGCTGTAATCTCGCGGTCGTTCCGCAGAGGAGATAAATCGACGAGCTAATGGAGTAGAGAAATACAAGCGGAGACTTTTATCGCCGCTGCGAAATTGCGTTGATATTTGTTAAACCGTGGACACGGTGCGTGGCGAAGGTCCGTAGCTAATTTCTGTTTGTAATTATTTAATGGTCATCGAATTCGCGTCACGAATAATCGATAGACATGTGCCTACGATGGAAATTATTTACGACGCGATAAAATTGATATACAAGCTACCGCGATTTGCAGAATCGAGAACGACCGATGAAAGATTTACGATGCTTCAACGCTGAAACCGTACCTGCCATATGCATAAATACCTCGGTCTATAATAATAAATCCACGGTGCCGGAATTTCATAGAATTTCGGGTTCAATTGTGGGATTTGAGAAGGAGTAAAACGGGATGTTCCGCGCGGCGATATAAGTTGAAGATGGAATAATATTTGAACATATCGTCTCTCTCTCTCTCTCTCTCTCTCTCTCTCTCTCTCTCTCTCTCTCTCTCTCGCCGAATGTTAAATATTCGCACTCGAGTTTTCACAACGAGAGTCTGTTCGCGCTAGCCGATTCTACACCGCGAAATTACGAACGCATTCGTACCAAACTTTCATAGCATTAAAATAAAATCGGATCTGCTCGTTACCACGCTGCGGACTGCACGCGATTATGCGCAAACATAAACGCACGGTGCATAAAACACCGAAGTTTTAACTTCGACGTTGATGAGAGCTCGAGGTAAACGCCTCGACGAAGTCACCTTAAGCCGGTACCAATTTGCATCTCATCGATCCGTTCTTAACTTTGACTTCGTTGTCATTGGATGCAATTGAAAAGTTGCGATCGCGACAACCGCAACAGCCATCTGGTGCAACGATGATTAACCTCGCCGGCTGCTTATCAATAGACGATAGATCCGAGGCGGAAAGAGCAATCGATCCGTCGCCGTTGTTGCAGAATCGACGCCGGTGCATTCGTTTCAATAATAAAATACGAAATCTAGAATATCTTGAAACTATGGGACGGGAAACCTGATACCGTCGCGTCCGGCGCTCTCAGTTGGACGAGGATAATTGAATAAAGAGCTGGTACAAACGAGGCAGAAAATATTTTCGCGGCGCGTCGACTCGGGGCATAATTTCTGAAGTGCGGCTCGATAGCTGCAGAAAATTAATGGTTGCCGCGGAAAGCTGATGACCGAGTCGCTCGTCGGGCTATAGCAGTTATTTGAAATGTATCTGTTTAAGGATCTATCGAGCGCGAGCAACAGTAATTTCACGGCGGAAGCGCGACACGCGTACGGGAGAGACGTGAGAGACGAGGCTAAGCGAGCCGGATCGCGGCGGGGACAGGAGGAAAAAACGAGGAAACTGCAAGAAAACGCGGCGCAAATTGGACGGATAAATGAAGGACCTTGACTCTCGCGCTCCAAACTCGTTAATGGCGAGTAATTAACGCGGCGAATAATTGCCGGCCGTTCGTTGATGCGCCGGTAGGGCGACAAAGGAGCCTAATGAAAGCAAGTTAAGCTATCGAGCATCGATAATCGACCGGCTCGATGTTCGGGGAGGGGAAAAAACGACGACCCAGAAACCCCGTTTTCCGATTTATTAGAAGCTTTATTTTTATTGCGGCTGCTACTCTTGTCCGAGAATTTATTATTTTACTCGGCGGGAGGAAGACCGGAAGATCGAAGATTACCTTACCAAATAAATTGGAGAGGATTCTGATACCATGGGGATCGATTTTTCAGAAGCACTTTGTCAAGCACTCTGTCGAGCGTTGCCCGGAGACTAGAAAATTAACGATCCTATTTCTCGTTGGTCAAACATTTTGTCGGGAGTCGCCGAAGCTAATGATCGAAACGGATGGAGCCTGAACGAAACGGTTAATAGAACGAACATGATTGAGATTGCACGAAAGCATTAAGTAAGTAGAATGTGCGGGAGATTTGTGCTCGTCGAGTAATTGGATCAGTTTCAATCGAGCAATTTTCGTTGCGACGCGATAATAAACTGCGGAGAGCGCGGGTATTGAAACATTAGCGTGTCGTAGAATCGGGTGGCCATCTCAGTTAACGTGCTGCACTTTAATAACCTGGCACTCGTAATGGCGCGAACAATTGAAAACATCATCGCGGGACCAGCGATAAACACCGGTATTAATCACCGAGGCGACAATCGTAGTAACGAATTTACATCCAACGGCGCCATTATACCATCGCTGACCTATTACTGCGAACGATACGCGCGCGAGGAACGAACGATGTTGCACGGTAGAAGAAAAAAAGCGCAGCAAGAAAAAGGTCCCTGGCATGCCGGAATGCAAAAAGCGAATCGATGCGGCTTCAACGATGCATTTTATGCGGACGGCGTGGCCGAATCGAGCGGCAAAATTCGCGGTTGTCCGCTGCGTTGATGACTTTCACTTTCGCAGCGCGGAAATGCGGCATTTCGCGGAAAAAAGGTCAACGAAGTCGGACGAAACAAAAAATCGTCTTACCTGTCTGCCAACCTGTCTCGCAACTGTCGATCCTCCTCTAGAACCGGTGTGATCAAAGAGAGATAAAGATCCAGGCGAACTGGAACGATCCTTGCAGCAGATATTCTCGCTCCGGTTTTCTGCGGACCAAAACAGCGGGTTATAGTAATGCGAATAGATTCGGTTCATAGATTGTGTCGCAGATATTTCGAGATACTAAATCTGTTACTGTGTCAATATTTTGAGAATCTTCGAAATGGTTCTTTTTGTATTGTAGCTTCGAAATTGCGCTCTGTAAGCTTTTAAAAATTGTGCTAAACGTCGATGATGCGCTATCTGCGCGCCGTTTGTGTGTCAAGAACGTTCCTTGCTTATTTTTTTTTTGGACTGTGAGCACACAGTAAACGTCTGATGGCGGACGCCGATAAGTGAAATATTTGCACGACTGTAACGTGCATTTCTCGTAACTCACGCAACGTAATAGAAGGTTCGTTGACTGCCGGTTAAACAGTCGGTTAACTGGTCGCTAATACGACCTTTAGAACCTTTCATTTTCCTTGGAAGCGAGCCGAGCCGAGCCGAGCAGAGCTGTTTGTCGAGTGCAAGCAGCGATCGCGAGGATGCGCCGCGACTTTCACGAAATCTTTCAATGGCGCGGCTGTCCGCCGTTAATCAAGGCATTATGCAACCGGGAACGCGTGACTACGCGCGCACTGCAACGATGCTCGCAGGTGACTCTCGTAACTTTCGGACCATTGTTCCCGTCGAACTTGAAACGACATCCAAATGAACCGCGGCCACGGACTTCGAATCGAGTTACCGGACGAGTTTCAAGACCGTTTCACCGCCTCGTATGCGATACAATTTTTAATAGATCCTAATCTGGAAATCGAACGCGGCTGAAATGGTAAGTAATTCGCTACCGAATCCAAATTCGTCGAATGTTATCGTAAATCCGAGTTAACTGACACTTATCGGACTGGTACAATCTTAGATATAACTTGAAATTTTTAACCGTAATTAAATGAAGTTTAAATCGAGCTCGACCCACTAACTTTATAACGAATTTAATCGATAATTTTCGTCTCGGACGGTGACATTAACGAGTTGTCGATATTTCTAGAAAAACAAGTGCACCTTTTTCCGTTACAGATTTGCACGTTTTATTCCATACCTTTCAGGCTCTACTTGAATCATCCCTTTTTTATAGAAAAACGAATACGAAAATGTTTGGAGGCAGAGAACGTTAAGGTCAACGTAGATTCTCTACGGTTTCTCGTTAGCATAACTTCCGAAAATTCGTCCGAAGCTAGCCCCGAAGTTACCCGTCTCGCGAGAAAATCAACAAAAAGATAACACCGTCAAGAGCCACAGACGGTTCACGCGGAGCTGCAATAACCGGTGCAGCATTCGCGGCACGTACTTAAAAAACTGGCGTAAATCAATTTTCCGGCTGTTCTCAATATATCCGGGAACTCGATGATTTACGAGCTATGCGCCCAAAGTTATTGACGAAACGAAACACGGTGTTGCCGGGATGTACGTCGACGAGACGATAGGGATCCCGGCTCGTTAAGGCGCGGTATCTGGGCCCTACTATCTTCCCCGCGAAATTACAATGAAACGTCGACGACGACGTGGGAGTACGGTGCTCCCGGTACACCTGAGGAACGTCCGAGGCACATGCCTTATCACGACACAAGCACCGTGCAATTGCCGTCATTACGCAACAAACCGCTCCGGGGCCCGGTTCCCTCGACACTTTCGGTGTTAACGCCGCGGAACGAGCTCCTAATTGTACAAACACGACGGGCGCACACCACGAAATATCGGTCGATTTTGCTGCACGCGCGAACAGGAAGAATTTCGAACGTGGACGACGCTGATAAGCGATAAGCTTGGATTCCGTTCAGAATGCTCTGCTCTCCCTAATCGAGCTACGTTTAATATCATTGTTCCTCGAGCTGTTGACTCCGTCGACGATTGATAGCGCGAGACCGGCGTCACTCTACTGGAAGAATCCACAACATTGTAAAATCTTCCGTTCGAATTTTTCCGTTTGAACGAGTCGCTGCTCGCATAGCGACTTATGTTTATATAATGAAGGTTCAAGAAAAAACGCGTTCAAACGTTTTTATTTGGTTTACGAAAATAATGAAATATTATTTTCACCAAATGTTGTGCTAATGTACATTGAGACAATTAAATAAAATAAATATAAATAAACATAAAAATAAAGAAAAATATATATATAAATAAATACAATAAAAGAAATCTATACAGATATAGATATTTTAATATCTCGATATTTCTCCAGATACACGCGAAGAACGTAGGAATGGATATGTCGGTATTGTATTATACAGATAATACTAACTGTTATGAAATATAGTCGCTGTGAAGCGATGCACGTGATTTGCAGGGGATGACTCCTGGGGGTAGAACCGTTTGGGAAATGTCGAACGATGCGGTCGCATTAAGACAAAGTAAAACATTTACGAAGATGTAAACGACGCGATGGGAGCTTTCGTGGCTGGCTCTAGGAACGCGTAGAATTATTTTTAAAACGAGATGTTTACCCGCGTCTCCGCCTTCGAACCACGGACACCTCGTCTTGGACAAACAAGCACGCCTGGTTGCAAGCCAGGGGAACTAGTCTCGCATTTAAAATGCCTCTAGACATTAGTCTTTCACAAATCTGGAACGTTTATCCTCTATCGCAGCTTAAATGTTACAGCGTTGCTACCAAAAATCGCAGAATTTTTAAAACACCACTGCACCAGGATCCGATCGATGATACGATTCAATTTAAAATAAGATCAACCCTTCGCACTCGAGAGTCAACATGTCTTCGAGTGCTAAGCCAAAGAAGAGAAAGAAATTTGCCAGAGATCTAAATGGAGGTTCGAATTGCTCGTAAACATGACTTACTTTTCACAGCCGCCGCTGCATCCAAGCACAATGCGATGCACCGATCACAGTTGCAACCACCACGAACGACCCCGAATACTCGAAAAATACTGGTCTCGCGACCAAATGCGAGAACAACTGAATGAAATCGGGGGAAGAGAAGGCGCGTAGAAACAGACGGAACGAGGAGCAAAGCGGCTCGATATAATTCGGCTCGATTTGAATTGCAATAACCTTCGACCCGGTTTTTCGTCGGTCACGCGAACACGCGATATCCCGTCACCGCTCTGCGACACCGACGCACCCCGCTTGCAACCGACGCGGACGTCCGCGCGCGCGAACAAACAAGAACGGTTCCTCTCGGTTTTGAATCGCGTATCGAAACCGACAACAGACGGGAAAGCTCGCCGACGCGACGGAACAATGAAGCACGTGGCTCGCCGGTTTCCGAGAGACCCGTGACGAGACGATGTTCACGCGACGAGAGCTCGCTGCTCACTGAACCCACGATGGCGCGCGAGGCAACCTCACCCCTCCTTCCCTCCCTCTCTCCCAGCTTTTACCGCGGACGAGCATCCAACCTCTCGCATCCCGCCGACCTCGCGACCCCGACGCCGCGGAAAATGCGTGTCAACGATTGGCTCGTTGCGACGCCTTCGGCAATTTTTCTTCGCGGGCCAGTCGTTAAAAATTTCACAACTTTAACGCGATTTCCCGGATTCCCGGAACGATCGGTTCCAGGCTCGTTGTTCTACCAAGTTCCATCGAAACTTGCGCGTGTTACAGAACTTCGATCCCACGAACTTTGGGCTCCCCGCGTTTTTGGTACGCACGGTTCACCGGGCCCAAAACGACCGGTCACGAACTCGTCTCGCGCTCCGCAAAATTGCTACGGAGTCTTCGCCCGCGAAACTTCGATCCTGCGAATTTTTTGAATCGCTGAAACGATTACGAAGCTGCAACCGGATCCGGAATGACTGGTTTCGCGTTCCTTGTTTCGCCGATGCATTCGAAAGTTTCGACTATAACCTATTAAATAACAATACCGCTTTTAACGCGTGCACCGCCGCGGCGCGGCGTCTATAAAAATCACACGAAGTCGGGTCAACTTATTTCGTAATGCAAGAACAGAGAAGACAAGATTTATTATATAAATTACTTGCGCAACGCTCTTGAATATCGCAGGTGCGAACCAATTTTGATTCAGCCGAATAATAAACCGTGCTAAATATCGAGTTCCAAGTTCGTTGAAAAAAAAATTGTAACACCTGTGTACAACCGATATTTGGTGAAATAAACATGGATCTGATTTTTCTCGCGCAGGAATTCGCGAGGTGCTAATCGACGCGGATGTTAATGGAGACCGACTACTACTGCTGGCGAGGAAAGAGAGGAAGCAACAGTTCGTTTATGGAGTTCCGGCGAATCCCGAAGCGACAATAATAAAATAATTACGGAACAGTTAGCGACGGAGACGAAGGCCGCGGCGGCGCGGCGGCAGCGAAAGAGCGGCGCGCATAAATCCAGTCGCAGGGCATTAATCAATTTAAGCTCGCAATTTCTATCGGCGACGAGGTTAAAGTGGCCGGGTGGATGGGGCTGATTTCGCCGGCGTAATTAATAGTAACAAGTGTCGGCTCGTTCGGAGCACGAGCTTCGCCCTGTAACGGGCGAGCGAAGGCACCGCGATAACTGAAACGCGATGATGACTCTGACCGATGCGATGGAAAGCCAGCTCCCCGGAGGCAGGACTGGCAGTAAATGCAAACGACTTGACCCGGCCCGAAGATCGAACGAAGACAAGACACGTACGGGGCCATCCTCCTCTTCCTTCTCCTCCTCCCTCTGCTCATCCCCGCCCGCCGAGGAACAGCTACCCGGCTAGCCGAGTGTCTACTCGTGACGATGCACCGGTGCATAAGCTGCACAAAGGAGCGCGGGAGACCCGCATGCGAATTCAATTACACTCTTCGCCCATTACGCGATACCATCGGGACACCCGACCTCCGAAATTTTCGTACTTTGTTGCGCCGTGTGTGCAACCTTGCACACATTATCGCTTACGTGAAAAGAGCCCTCGAAATGAGAAAACAAGTACACAGATAATCATCGAATATTTGGGCCGCGATATCTAATCTCTTTTAATTTATCATCGACACGGCTACGTTGTGGGCAGAAAAGGGAAACAAAAGATTGGGCGTAAGTATGTGATTTCGGTGGGAAAATATTTCTTATCGCTCCTAATGCGTCGATGAAATTGTAGAAGTCGGAAGAAGGAAGCAACGCGAACACGGAGGATTAATTCATACATGTCCACTCGTTTCTCGCGCGACGCAGGATTCCGCTAATTTTTGCCTACGGTTTCAAAGGATTTCTCTATAAGTCCGAATCGCGTATCCTAGACAAGTTACAAATCGATCCAGGTAAGTTACTGTACACCTGGACACGTTTACAGAGGAGAAATTCACGGGCGAAGAAAAATACCGCGTCGATTTCTTGTGACCGGAATGACTCCTTACTTTCCTCCGATTTTGCAGCGACCACCGTCAAATCATTTTTCAAGCAGGAGTGCTGAGGTCTCTCGAAATTCTACGAGCAGATCGAATATCGATCCGCGAGAGCCACGATGACGGATCGGGTTCGAACCGTTCGATTAATTCGAGTCGTTCTAAACAGCTCCGCGCTACATTCCTCTCGAGCTGAAAATAATGCCTCGATTCGTCTTGCGTTCGAGCAAGTACTGCTTGTGTTCTCCGAGACATTTTCTACCGAAGCTATTATCTATATTAAGTTCTATAACGCGCAATAGTACACCGTCCATTCAACGTATTTTAACCCTTTATGGCCAATAGAATTGTATCAACAGAATTCATGTCGGCGGCACATTTAAAGTGCTGTAACTTAGCGAGAAAAAATCGTAGCGACTCGATTCGCCCCTCAAATTAAAGGGGAAAGTCCGAACTTTGCGGCCCTGTGAATGACATGCTCGAAAAAAATTGTGCAGGTACATAGAGAGCGTTAAACTTTGCACTTTTTCGGGATCGCGAACATGCCCTCGGATTTAGGATACTATCGGTCACGGAGCGGAACGTTACTAAAAATTAGAATACGCTATTGTGAAGCAGAAACTTCGAGCTTCAATTTAAAAAAAAAGTCACGATTTTAACATAGCTTGCAACGGAATTACAGTTGCTCAAAGATCGACCATTTTCTCGGTGAAAAATTAGCGATGCTTTAACTTTGCTGTTGAGTGCAACGAAAGTCCCAATGGTATGAAACTAAATGTCATCATTCTCGAACAGAGGAACGATTGCAAAAAAATATTCTTATCCGAAAAGGCAGTTATCCGGTCAGTATTAGCTCGGAACGAAAGGACAACGCAATCCGGAGCGGTAAAGGACCGAACCGTGTAAACGGGTTAGCCTTTAAAATTGCGAGAAGGCGTTCACACGGTCGCAAAGTTGATAATAGGGTAGCGAGGATGCAGAACGCGAGGGAAGAGGCACGAATCGCAGATTTCTCCGGGTCTCTGCCTCTCCGCCAGGCAAACAGCCCTAAGCAACCAAATTCTCGGCCGGTTCGACGAAATTTCGATGTTTGCCCGGACTAGTCTGCATACCAAGCAGCGATCAAGATTCGCATCTCGCCGCAAATCGCTCGGACCTTTTCCAAGGTACCCGACCTTCTTCTTCCCCCTTCTGCCCTCGCTCGCGCCTACTTCGCCTAACTCCCGCGGATTTTATCGCGGTCTAATCTAGCCGACGTTATTTCTTCGCTGTTAAAGTTCGCTGTTCGCGAACGCTTCGTCCGGTTCAATTCCCAATTAACTTCGACTCGTTTACGAGTTCGCCACTCCGTCCGGAACCCGTAAAACCTAATGTGTATTCGAACATGTTCATAATTCACGGGCGCCGAGGCTTCTTAACACTTCCACGACCGCGCTAGAGATCTCAAAAATCTTCATAAAATTAAAGTATTTCATTCTATTGAACAAAAATTACTAAGCAAACTTATATGGTATCAATTACTTCTTCAGCACTCGCACCTCATGCAAATCTTATTAAAATTAAGCAATCAGTTTTAATTTTTCATTAATCATCCATTCGGTCGTCGATCGACTGAATTTAAAACGGAGAGATCTCCCCATTCGGTTGGCTAAGTGTTAATTGTGTCCCGAGACCTCGAAACATCGATGCTTGCAACGAGATGGAAAAATCATTTCTTTTCTCAGCGGAGGGGCAACTATTTACGAAAAACTATTCGCGTATATTCTCGAAGGATCCACGACGATGATCGATAGGATAGATCGTTGAGTTATGCGACTCGAGAGGACCGATCAAAGACAGTATCCTTTCGTGTCCGGTTGAGTGAACCGAAACCAAAAGCGATTGCCAGGTTTCTTCGNCGCGAGAGCCACGATGACGGATCGGGTTCGAACCGTTCGATTAATTCGAGTCGTTCTAAACAGCTCCGCGCTACATTCCTCTCGAGCTGAAAATAATGCCTCGATTCGTCTTGCGTTCGAGCAAGTACTGCTTGTGTTCTCCGAGACATTTTCTACCGAAGCTATTATCTATATTAAGTTCTATAACGCGCAATAGTACACCGTCCATTCAACGTATTTTAACCCTTTATGGCCAATAGAATTGTATCAACAGAATTCATGTCGGCGGCACATTTAAAGTGCTGTAACTTAGCGAGAAAAAATCGTAGCGACTCGATTCGCCCCTCAAATTAAAGGGGAAAGTCCGAACTTTGCGGCCCTGTGAATGACATGCTCGAAAAAAATTGTGCAGGTACATAGAGAGCGTTAAACTTTGCACTTTTTCGGGATCGCGAACATGCCCTCGGATTTAGGATACTATCGGTCACGGAGCGGAACGTTACTAAAAATTAGAATACGCTATTGTGAAGCAGAAACTTCGAGCTTCAATTTAAAAAAAAAGTCACGATTTTAACATAGCTTGCAACGGAATTACAGTTGCTCAAAGATCGACCATTTTCTCGGTGAAAAATTAGCGATGCTTTAACTTTGCTGTTGAGTGCAACGAAAGTCCCAATGGTATGAAACTAAATGTCATCATTCTCGAACAGAGGAACGATTGCAAAAAAATATTCTTATCCGAAAAGGCAGTTATCCGGTCAGTATTAGCTCGGAACGAAAGGACAACGCAATCCGGAGCGGTAAAGGACCGAACCGTGTAAACGGGTTAGCCTTTAAAATTGCGAGAAGGCGTTCACACGGTCGCAAAGTTGATAATAGGGTAGCGAGGATGCAGAACGCGAGGGAAGAGGCACGAATCGCAGATTTCTCCGGGTCTCTGCCTCTCCGCCAGGCAAACAGCCCTAAGCAACCAAATTCTCGGCCGGTTCGACGAAATTTCGATGTTTGCCCGGACTAGTCTGCATACCAAGCAGCGATCAAGATTCGCATCTCGCCGCAAATCGCTCGGACCTTTTCCAAGGTACCCGACCTTCTTCTTCCCCCTTCTGCCCTCG